TTCATCTCGTAGAGATCAGTAAAAATCCATATATAATAAAAAAAATATAAAAATTTATTCTTATATATTTTTGTAAATATATTATTAATTAATTTTTACTCACCTAACTTAATTGGCTAATCCAACCTAACCTAAATTGCCAAGCATAATTTCTTTTTCAATTCTAGTCTTTCCAAACTCAATTCAATAACCCAATCCAACCTGAACATGTATGGTAATTTATGCATTTTTTTTATGAACTTGCTACTAGACCTGTTAGATGTGTATGACATTGTGTATTTATTGTAATTAGTTACTAGATATTGTTTTGTTGCACTATATATTAATGCATTTATTTATTTGAATTGTTTTTAATTTTTACATTTTTTATTTATCAAGAAAAAAAAAGATTAAATTCCATCTATTTAATATTTGGTGAAAATTCTGAATACTCATAAAGACTCGTTATTCCTTGTGGGTATAAGGATGGAGGCCATTTTTGCCTCCACAAAAAATTTATGTGGAAATCCCTATACCTATCATTGACAAGAATAAAAATGAAAAGGGAATTCTCGTATCCGTGGAAACCTATTGCCATCTCTAATTTTATATAAAAAAATAATTATAGCTCTTCCCTTAAAAAAAACTACAAGAAAAGCACTACAAATACAATTACAAGCGCACTTTTAATCTCTTCGGAAGAAAGAAAATACAATTAATTCCATTTACATTATTTGCAAGGTGTGCTTAGGCTTTGAAAAGTTTGGGATCAATCTTGGCTTTTTCTTTATCATAGGGGAGTTTTGGGAACGGGGAAATTCTAATTGCACGACAAAGGCCTGAATCCAGCCCAGTAACCCACGGTTGATGTGCAACAACTCCGACCATTAATCAAAATTGATCGCCAATGCAGGAAACCCGAAAGAGAAAGCCGACTCAACTCCGTCGTCCCCCCAAATCACCCAAAGTCACCACTGATGACCCTTACCCAGCTCACCAACGACCCACCGCCGATGAATGCAGAGCCATAAGAGACGAGCTCCTGGCTTTCCATGGTTTCCCTCAAGAATTCGTCAAGTACCGCAACCAGAGATTGAGCAATAGGGAGCAAGGGAATGTCCAATCAGAGCCGCCGGTTGTTGAGGAAGAGGAGGAGGAGGAGAGCGTCTTGGATGGACTAATTAAAACCGTGCTGTCCCAGAATACAACCGAGGTCAATTCTCAAAGGGCATTCGCTTCTCTGAAATCTGCTTTTCCCACCTGGGAAGATGTAAGCTTTATTGTTTTATCATGCATTTTACTGGGTTCTGTTATTTTTGAAATCATAGAGTAATGAAATGTGCTTTGTCTTACTTGGTTTAGTGTGCAAATTGATAATCCTTTTTGAGAGCTTTAGGTTTTCACCATTTTTTTTTTTCTTTAAGGTTGTTGCTGCTGAATCAAAAAGTCTACAGAATGCAATAAGATGTGGAGGTTTAGCTCCGACTAAAGCTTCTTGTATCAAGAATGTGTTGGGTTGCTTGCTTGAGAGAAAAGGCAAGCTATGCTTGGAGTACTTGCGAGATTTATCAATTGATGAAATTAAGGCTGAGCTCTCACATTTCAAAGGGATTGGTCCTAAAACGGTGAGATGCAGAGCTTAGGCTCTTTTTATCAAATTGATTTGGTTATGGTCGTTATTACGGGTTTCATTTTAGTTGAACTATGGTACCATGTGTGGTTGTGATTAACAAAATTTTGTGGTTGATATCATGACTCAGCTTTACCAGCCTTTATTGTAATTGTTTTGGTGTTCTCGGCATTTATATCTCTAGTACAATTCTTAAAGACTCAATGTATGGGATATGGATGGCAGGTGGCTTGTGTTTTGATGTTCCATCTTCAGCAAGATGATTTCCCAGTGGACACTCATGTGAGTAACAAATTCTTCAGACTGATTTAAATAGCACCATTGAACTTATTAATATTCAAACATCTTGCAGGTGTTTGAGATTGCAAAAGCAATGGGTTGGATTCCAGCTGTGGCAGACAGGAACAAGTCTTACCTTCATCTCAACAAACGGATTCCAGATGAGCTTAAATTTGATCTCAATTGTCTTCTATATACCCATGGTAAGCTCTGTCGTAAATGCACCAAGAAAGGGGGTACTCAGAGAAGAATTGAATCCATTGACGACGATAATTCCTGTCCTCTACTTAATTACTGTGAGAATTCTATTATGAACGGAACTAACAAAGCTATCTGATCTATTTTTCTACATTCTTAATATTTATCCTGCTTCTCTTCTGCTTAGGAAAAATTGTTTATCCTTCTTGCAAACAATTAGTTGGACAGAGGCAACTTATAGATCTATGACATCGAAAAGAGGCCATTCTGTTATTGGGTTGTATTGCATACTTGCATATTGTATATTGTTTCTTCCTAAACCCAAAAAAGCCTGATTAAGAAAGAAGATGGTTGGATCATGGATGACAGAGTCTAGTACTTTCTACATGCTCAAAAACTCCTTGAAGTTTATGTTCTTAATAATTGAATATGAAAATTCTGTCTACAGTAAGGAGCAGTAAGTGACTCATCATTACCATATACATTGCTTACTGCAAGACAAGAAAAATGTTAAAAATTGTTTTTTTTTTTTTATCCTTTGTAATTTTCCCCGAGTTTTAGTACTTTTATGAAGAAAGCATGGGGTGAGAATATGATGCAATAGTTTTTATTGGTCCCAAAAATTTCAATGTCTATTGTCCTACAGCTGGAAAGAAAACAAGTTGCATATGACTTCATATAGCATTAAATATTGCATGGTTTTTAGAATTTTGTATGGTTGATACAAATAGATCTACTTAGATCTTCTTTGTTTTTCTTTATTAGTTGATATGCTTAAATCAATTATTCTTTTTTATTTGTGCATTAGCATCTACTACTGTAGAAAATGATGTTACTAGGTGCTTAACTACCTAAACCACAAAGTGAGGAATGCATACAAGCATCCAGATATTTAGTGGGAAAATTATTTGGAGGTTAGTGCTGTCCTAGCTAGCATCTCATCTCATTAGATTTTTTTGATCTATTAAGATCTCTATATGTGTCATCCGTATTAATTATCATTTATGAATTTTGATATGTTCAAGTGTGCCTGATTGTGTGTCAGTGTTAATTTCTTGTAACTTATAAGTTAGGAGTTCTTTGAGAAAGCAGCACAATGTCTCTTTACATTTCGATCCATATTTCTAATTCTGTGTTAAACTTTATTCATAAGCCCCTAGCAAGTCCCCATTTTTTTATTCATTTTAGTACAATTTCTTTCACATATTTAAGCTGTTTCATGTCTGAAAGCTATCCATTTTGGTTACAGCTAGCATCATTTGAAGCAAATCAAGTGTTCTATTAATAAATGGGAAAGAAGTATATGAGTTTCTAGGATATATATCATAGACTTTCCAAATAGAATAAGAAAATCATGTTTCCTGCCCCCCGAGCTTAACTGGCCATGGTTGATGGTTCTTTGGTCTGATGCAAAATTCAGATGGAAGATAGACAACTGAGGTTATTTGGGGTAGTGTTGAGTTTTTGTTCCATGGCTGAGCAATGTCTGGGGGAATCTGAAGAAGGAAATGAAACTGGAAAATCTTCTTTGAACTACGAAGAATGCAGAGAAAACATTGCTTAACCTCCCATTTCTTCTGAAACTGATCAAGTTAGCCAGTTCAAGGAGTTTTAGATCAGCTTTGGATCCCCTAGATCAGAATTAGGATATATATTAATTAAATTGCTAATCCTTGTCCTGACTTTGCAGAAGAAGGCAAAAATGTAGTCATCAAGCCTCTATAAGTTGGGGCTTCCTCCACCATCATATATCTCCATAATGTAGAATGTTCTTCAGTTCTTAGGAATAACCATTGAGTTAGCTCGAGCTTGGTGGTTTTTGTGGGGGCAAAGTTATGGGTTAATTAACTTAAGGGAGATTTTGGAGACAACAAGGTCATTCCTAGGTTTTTTACCAAATAAAAAAAATTCAGAAAATGTGTTTTTTTGAAGGTGGAGAAGCATTTGTGATCATAGCATGATATATAAATTTATGGATATATTTCATATATATGTTCATACAGAAACCACCATAATTATCACCGGCACCATCCTCCACATCTGTAACAATACAAACAAATTGCATATCATGGCCATAATCTTTAACAAACATCAAATGGAAATCTCTCTCCCTAGTCCATGTATATCCCCCAAGCCAAAATCTAAGTCTGAATTGAGTTGAAGGCATCGCACCTACGTCTGACTTCTCCTTTTCTTCCTGTTTTGACCCCATAAACACTGAGCTTCTCCATTGCATGCGAGAAATCATTGAAGAATGCAGTCTGGTTCACAGCATATAACTCCACCAATGGCCTTGTCTTCCCATCATACACCATGGCAGTGTCGGACATCAGAAGCCCCAACCCCCTCTGCAGATTCTTGAAATACATGTTGTCGAATTTGGATGGAGTCATAACGTCGTTGAATGCTGACATTCCAATATCCGTTGTGTAATTCTCACACATCTTCTTCAACGCGGCAGCATACTTCGGATTGAGTTTGGGATCTGTAGGGGTAGTGTTATTGTACCGGTAAAGCCTATCCGCAAACTCTTTACAGTGAGTGAATCCGATGGTGTGTCCACCACCAATTAATGCCACCATTTCCTGCACCGAGAACCCCTTGGTGGTAAAGTGAGAGATGATTTCGTCTATGGTCATGTTTTGTCTTGGGAGATTGCCCTCCACCCTGTCGACCTTGGACACCATGCTGTCTTTACGACCTAGGCGGACTTTGTAGAAAGGTCCGCCTACCACGGTGACGAGGTCACGAGTTGCAACCGCAAGAATGTCAGCACAGGAGACAATTCCGGGGCATGACAGTTCCAATGCCGTTTTGGCACGGACAATGACCTCAAACGCGTCTCCTGAGAGGGAGAGGTTGAGGTCTGCATCACGTTCAGCCTTATTGAAGGCATTGGAGGAGATCAAAACAGAAGCGTCACAACCATCAACCATGCAGTCGTGGAAGAAAAGGCGCAGGGCGGCAGCGGCAGTGGTGGGGTTGGAGAGTTGTTTTGATGTTATTGTGTTTCGCATGATATTCTCAAAGTCAGGGCATGTCTTTTGGTAATAGGTGGTGGAGAGTTTGGATTCCGAGAAGCGGATGCAACATAGGAGGAGGAGGAGGAGAAGGGGGAAGAGGAAACGGACAGCCATGGCGGCAGGGGAGTAGAAGACCGGTGGAAGGGAATTCTTCTTCCCGGTCCGGCGGAAGGGAAGAAAGAGAGAATTGATGGGAGATGATGTTTAGAGGGAAATTGTTATTACTTATTTTGCATGGAAAAATTTTGTTAAGGTTTTATGGATAGAGTTGAAATGAACGTGGAGTGCGCAGAGCCAGCAACGCCAGTTCGGCACTAAATTAATTTTTGTTATGTTTAATTAAGTTGTTTTTCAAAAAATTCCTTAATTTAATCCTATTAATAGGTAGAAAATAACTTATAATTAGCTGGTTTTGTGGATGAATGAACTCACCTATACTAGAAAAAAAATTGAAATTTGGTTGAATTCAAACTAACTATTGTAACATTATAAAAGAAGAAGAAGAAAATTCAACCTTTTTTTTTTTTTTTTTGGAACAAGAAAAAATTGGAGGGAAAATTACATTCTAAAGACTCAAACCATGAAATATTGGCTATAATGTACCAAGCATCCAACTAAAGCAGCTAAAGCCACGGTGCAACTATTGTGACATAAAAAAGAGCATAATATTAAATGGGACTAAAATTTAAGATTGGTAATGTAATATTATTTATGTTATTAAAAATATTAAAAAAATAAATTTTATATTATTTAACAATTAATTTTTTTATTTTTTAAAAATTTATAATATTATATATATAAATTTATTTAATGACATGATATAAAGTGCATCATTATCCTCAAATTTTCATCCCCTGTCATTACCCTAAAAAGGAAGGACAAATTTTGCCTTCCTCTATTCTAATTCTCTCGAAGCTGAGTAGGTTTTAAAAATAACCATCGAAATTTAAAACAATAATTAATTTTAAAAAATTCTTAATAATAAAATACTACTCTTTTTTTTCATAGAAAAAATGCTACCATTTTGATTTTCGAGAATGAGCAAGGATTAGTATTTACTTCAACATAATTGAAGTTTATTTATTTATATCAGCCCTTCTTCAATTCAAAACTAGTTTCTTTAAATGTACTACATAAATGTAAGAGATGTTTTTAAAATAAATAAAAAATTTTAATTTTGCAATATAAATTATATTAAATTACAAAATAAAAAATTAAACAATAAAAAAATCTAATACTAAAAGATTAACACTTGTTTAATGATTTTAATTAAAGAAAAATAAACATTTTAATATTTTTAATATCAAAACATTTAATAATAATTATATAATATATAAAATATAATATAATTCTAATTTTATTAAATATATCATTTCTGAAACTTAAACGTCTTAATCTTTCCTTTCCCTTTTTAATTATATAGCCTAATGAATTCTACAATTAGTCTGATGGTGAAAGTTGATGACTTTATTTTTATTTTATTTTTTTATTATAATTATCTTGTTTTTTTATTTATCAATACATCATTTTGCATCACGAAACCATTTGACCGGGAGCTGATTGGCTCCTGAGCTTGCTGGTCTCGTTGTGATTGGTCAATTAATTTCTCGCAAAAAAAAGTACCATTTTCTTTTGAAAAAAAAAAAAAAAATACTATCGTTTCTTTTCAAGATCAGTCAGTTGTTGTTATAAACACAACAAAGTTCTCAATCTTAAAGATCTTACTCTCGAATTCCAATCATGCTCTTACCTCGCGATCGCTGTTATTGGATATGGCTTCTCGTCTTCCTCCTACTCCACGCATCTCCTTCCTGGTTCGCCTTGTCGACGTCGCAGCTGGATCCTCTTTCCTCGGCTAAGAGGAGGCAGATGAGGGAGAAAGTTCGAGAAATGTAAAGCTTATTACCTCACCCTTTCCTACTTCAATTCTGCTTCCAATTTTCGATTCTTCGAGTTTTTGAATTTTGATTCAGGAGGATTTCTTTTGATAGTATTGTTCCTTTACATTTTCAATTTAATGCACAATTTTGAAGGTAGAATGATATTATGTAGCGTATCCATTTTGTTCCTTGAGAGTTGGTAAGTGTAGGAAAAAGAAAAAGTAAAAGTAAATTATCATATTTAACGAACCCGGAATTCTCATTAAAGAAAGCAGTTTTTTTTTTTTTTGTTTCCACAAATTGAACTCTGGTTCATGTTGAATATTTAGGGTGTGTTTGGTAGATTTGAGGTAGAATGATATTATGTAGCGTATCCATTTTGTTCCTTGAGAGTTGGTAAGTATATGAAAAAGAAAAGTAAAAGTAAAAGTAAAACATCGCATTGAACGAACCCGGAATTCTCCTTAAAGAACGCAGCTTTTTTCACAAATTGAACTCTGGTTCATGTTGAATATTTAGGGAGTGTTTCGTAGATTTGAGGTTGGCAGTTAGTGGTTTGTACTAATTGGATGAGATTATAAACAATAATAACTATTAGCAGTTGGATATCAGCTTTCAACTGCATTTGAATTGCTAATCCGAACACCCGGATAGAATTGTTCAATTTTTTTTTCTCATGGCAGAATTTATAATTAGACCCTTTGAATTCGCTTATATTGCTGTTGGAGAATGAAGATTTTTAAACAATTTTCTTGCTTCTACTTTGCAGGTTCTATCATGCTTATGAAAACTACATGACCCACGCATTCCCGGTTAGTTCATGTTTGTTGTTCTTTTTATTAAGCCAGAGTATTTGTTCTGTTGCACATGGTATTGAATTGTGTTTTTCTTTTTGCAGCATGATGAGTTAAAGCCGCTTACCAAAAGCTTCACTGACTCCCTTAGTGAACTTGGAAATCTTAAGGTAATTTTATTATTAGTTTAGAATAATAGAAACCAGCTGAATGAGGATGTTACAGTTTACTTTTTGACTTACAGCTTGAACACTTACCCAAAGACTATAATGGATCTGCCCTGACTCTCATTGAATCTTTGTCCAGGTATAATTTTTTACCTAAATGAAAAACATAATGAGATAAGAGTTATAATTTTATATTTACAGCGACTTTTTTCTCTGTCTTGATCAGTGCCATTTGTCTGGATCAGTGCTTACAAATGGCAATAAGAAATTATGTCATTCCACTATACTGATACACGTGCTGCTCCCTGCAGCCTTTTTATCATGGGTAATATTACAGAATTTGATCGGGCGGTTCTCTGGCTTTCTGAAAATTTGACATTTGATGTTGATGCAAGGATAAATCTTTTTGAGGTATCTAATAAGTTTTGTCTTGTACATAGTTTTTTACTAGCATGGTTTAGTTATGTAGAAACTTAATGAGACTTGATGCTTGATTCTTTCTTTTCACTTGTGATACAAGCTTCAGTTCATAGCCTGAGTAACTTATATTGATGTTTCTAATTATATTAGTTTCCTCATGATTTCTGTTGTGCAGTGCAACATAAGAGTTCTTGGAGGACTTATTTCTGCTCATATTCTTACAACCAGTTCTACGAACAGGTTGGATCAAGGAGCTTACAATAACCAGCTGCTTCTGTTGGCTGAAGATTTGGGGCAACGCTTCTTACCTGCTTTTGATACACCAACAGGGTTGCCATATGCATGGATTAATTTGAAGGTAATGCCTAAAATATGCTTTGTAATAGTAACACTTCAAATTATGGTGCTTCTTAGATTAGATGTCTTTTTTTCTATTTCTTTTCTTGATGTCATGTTAAAGCATTTTCCTTTATAATTATTAAATGTGTGGCTTTCTTACATGTTTTACACAAAATTTAAAAATGAATCAACTCAATCGATGTTATTTTGCATGTGCAGACGTGGAATTTTATTATTTTTTAGACAAGATAGTTCACCTGGTTCTGTTGCTAATTAAACAATTAAGATCCAGTGAATTGCAAATTCCCTCAAGAAAATTAACCTATGAGCAAATATAAGTGAAAGAAAAGTGATTTTTTATGCTTTTCTCTTCATTTCTATGCATCTCTTAATGAAGACATGTTTGGACTCAAACTTTCTCTTTGCTCACATGACTCATATTTTTGTAATCAAAACTTAGATTTTATTTTCTGGGAAGTGTGAGAATGTGTTTTTGATTTGTTTGTTAAGAAGGATATATGACTCCACATCAATCAAAAATTCTGTGGGCAGTATGGAGTTACGGAGAATGAGACTACTGAAACAAGTACCTCTGGCTGTGGTAAGCATATTTTAGAACATTTAACGAGATGCTATAATAAAACGTTTTTTTTTTTTTTTCTTGAAACTGAGTATTTTTCCATGTCTGATTTGAGGTTCTTTAATTCTTGAAATGGGAGCATTGTCACGGTTAACTGGTGACCCCAGATATGAATCTGCAGCTTTACGTGCTTTGCGTAAATTATGGAGCATGCGCAGTTCACTGAATTTACTGGGAACAACACTAGATGTAGTATCTGGGGAATGGATTGAACATTCTTCTGGTATTGGTGCTGGTACGTGTCCTGGGGGCTCTGATCATTTTTATGCAAAAAATCATGTCTCATGTTGACCGAAAGGTTCTAAATCTAAAATAGATGGAATTTCTTCTCTTTTTTTTTTGATTTAGAATGCTCTGTCTCTCTTTATATTATCTTCACTTATTGCTGACACTAGATTTTTTTGCCTTCTTTAAGGGGTTGATTCATTTTATGAGTACCTATACAAAGCTTACATTCTTTTTGGAAAGGAAGATTATTGGAGAATGTTTCATTCAGCATATCTAGCAGTGCAAAAACATTTCAGACATGGTCCATGGTAATGTGTTGATGATGTAACTTACTAATTCCTTGGATTTTGCTTGGAGTCAAAGGCCTAGGTAGCAAGGGTTGTTCTCAGTTAATTGTAAATGCCACAATCATTTTACTGAGAAAATATAATAATCTTGTGCTGGCATAAGTCAAGAAAAATTTTCTCTGAGTTAATTTTTTTTACAATCTCAGCAGATGTTGGCATTTTTAACAACCTACTGTAGCCTAGTGGTGGGAAAGGTCTACGTTTGTCTGCCTCTTGGCCTCAAAGATGGACCAAAAAAATCTTTTGCATTTTTATCAGTTTTTTCTTTTCTCTAAATGTATTTCTTTTTAATTTTACATTTGGAAAGTACTTTACTTACAATAAGATCTAATATGAACAGATATATCTCAAGCTTTTGAAACTTTAATCTAATTTGAAGCATATTACTCTGTTATAGGTACCATGAAGCTGACATGAGGACAGGAAAGGCAACTTATTGGCAGCTTACAAGTCTTCAAGCCTTTTGGCCTGGTTTGCAGGCATGTTACTGAAACCACTAACATACATAGGAAATAGGATTCACTTACACCTACTGTAAGATTGGAGAGATTTACACCTTTATTAGCCATTGATTTCATAAATCCAATGGCGAGGATAATGATAATATTTTTATATGTAATAATACATTTACAGACTTACCAGATATATCACCATCATCTTAGCCATTGGATTAGTGTACTCAATTTCTAATTAATGGTTTAAGTCTAAAAATTATTACTCTGATGTGATTGGACCTGTATATATGTATATAGTTTACTAACTATAGTTTCATCATTTTCAACTGTAATTTATGTAAGACTTGTACATTTGTAAGTGGATCTGACTTGTATACATATCCATACATATATTTGCTTTTAGAGGATCTTCTAATCTTCTAATCTTCATCTTTGTCTTTTGTTACTAGGTTCTTGTTGGGGACATTACAGCTGCTAATTCATCGCATCGTCAGTTTGTTCATGTGTGGGAGAAATATGGAGTATTACCAGAAAGGTATAAGATCATTGAAGGATATCATACTTTCCTTTCAGTTATAGTTGCTGAAGTTGATTTTATGATTTTAGCTTTTATTTCTTTATTCCTAATAAAGTGAGTAACATGAAGTGTGAATTCCTTCTAGGTATCTGCTTGATCATCAGATGTTACATCCTACAGAAAAGTATTATCCTTTGCGTCCTGAATTAGCAGAATCCACATTCTATTTATACCAAGCAACAAAAGGTTTGATGGTTTTTATTTTCCTTACAATATCAAATGTGTTAAGTAGATGTTATTTGGATAATGGTCCTTGGGTTGTGATTTTAGCAGTTCTTGTTTTTATCTTTTATGATATTATTATCCAACTTTGTTTAATCTGTATTTATTTTTGTATGACAACAGATCCGTGGTACATGAAAGTTGGTGAATCAATTGTGAATTCCCTAAATCTGTACACCAAAGTGGAAGGAGGATTTGCAAGCGTCAGGGATGTAACAACTATGCAATTGGAAGATCATCAACATAGCTTCTTTCTTGCCGAAACGTAAGAGAATTTCTCATTTGCTACTTCTTTCTTTTGACCTTCCCTATATCAAGAAGAGGAAATATTTTTTCTAGGACCTACCCATTTTATTTGAACTAATGCCTTCTGCTTTCCATAGTTGCAAGTATTTGTACCTTCTCTTTGATGATTCGTTTTTGGTGGACCGGAACTACATATTCACTACTGAAGGTCATCCTCTTCCAGTGCTAAGTTCTTGGCATGAGAAGTTACCAGAGACTTACATACCAACTAACTGGACTTATGTGAAGGTCTTCTTATTTACTGATTGATTCATTTATCAAAATAGATCCTAAATATAACCACAAAGCAAACTAAAAATACAATGGTGCAGGGCAAAACGCCAGCAAAAAAAGCCAGTGCTATGTCTCGACAACTCTGCCCTGCTACAACACTAAGGTCAGGATATGGAAGCCAGCAGATTGAGAGTGCATGCCACATCCCTGATGCTCGTGGTGACCACAGGTGTTTCAGTGACGATGACTGCGGAGTTGACTCAACTACTTGTAGAAGAAGATCTTGTAGCATTGCTGGATACTGTGGGCTGTGGTTGTTCAAATGATAACTGGATGGAGAAAATTTGCGGAACTTTCTTCAAAATAAACTTCAATGAAAGATGTACCAAAAAAAAAAAAACTTCAATGAAAGGAAAGTTTCCACAAAGTTGTGAAATACAATACCAGAAGCCTGTACAAGAAGTAGAAAAAGGAGAAAGGGTAGAAACACATGTTACAGAAATTCTCACACCATTAGTTGATCTAGTCTAGGTATGTACGTTGTATTGAATTATGCTAATTGACTTGCCATTACATTCTTGTATCTGCTATTCAAATTTTGATTGCAGCGTTTATAGAAAACTCATAGAAATAAAATTCTAATTTCTGCCCATCATCATCCCTATATTACGGTAATTGAATTGGCGCTCATTGATTTGATTTGTGTAGCTTCGGTTCAGGTGGTAGATTGGACAATAATTCTTGAATTATTCTCCTTGGCAGCGCCACGTGCTGCCACATTATGAGCAACAAATGTTGCTACCACACCAACTCCTGAGTGCTATCGAGTGCAGCTAGCACTTCTTGCACGACCATGGAGAACTTACCGAAAATTGTAATAGAATCGATTTTACTGATGGGAATTCAAGAGGCATCTCCAAAGGCTTCTGATTTGCTGAGGCTACTAAAGCAACTATTGATTGCTCCAGCTCCCAAAAGCAATGCATGCCAGCTGTTCGACGAAATTGATCTCCATCACAGACCCAGCTGGAGATCGCTGATTTATGATGCAAATGCTACAAAAGTTACAAAACCCATCAGAAAGCTCTGGTCTAAGTAGGTACCGGACGGCGTTGGGACTTGGGAAACAATTTGTAACCAGCTGTCTGGAGCATGGGGCATGGGGCATGGGGCACGGTTATAACCAGTAAGAATAATGCTATGTTATGTGACTATTAAAGTGTAAAATATTATTTTTAATAATTTTAATTTTATTTAATTTGATTAATAAAAATAATTAATAATTAATATTTATTAATTAATAAATTAAAAATAAAATTTTATTCACATATA